CCCAGCTCATTTTTTTTATAGATGAGGAAACAGGCCAACAGGGTTGAGAAGAGAGGGAGTCATACAAGGGCTTTCATACTGAAAGTGGTATTTTAGGAAAATTGGTCTGGCTGAGGTAGAGGAAAGGAAAGGTGGGAGTATCTAATCTGGAGAACCACTTCTCCGATGTTAACAGCCTGAACCTGGGCAGAAGCTTGCAGGAATGATAAGAAAGGTGTCAAGAGGAAAGAACCGACAGCGGATCAGCTCTCCTACTTATTACCAGCCCCAGGACCTTGGGCTAGGGCCATACAACCATTAAGTGTCTGAGACCAGATTTGAACTCGAGAAGATGAGTCTTCCTGACTACAGGCCCGGCACTCTATCCATTTGCCCACCTAGTTGCCGTAAGTCAAACCACCTTCTTGGTAAATATCCTCATTGATGGCTGAGGATGGTGGAGAATTGTAAAAATAGGTACCTACCCTAGGATCGACAGAGTGACAGAAGCTTAAGAACTGAAAGGGAATTTAGAAATTATCCTATTGAACCTCTTCATTTAGTAAGGAAAGAACCTAAGGCAGAAAGAAAGTAGGAGATTTACCCCCACCCCACCCCCAAGATCATACAGCTATTTTGTAGCACTGGAACCTTTCCCAGATAGGTTAATTAACATCATACTGACTTGCCTCTTCAAAAAGGTTACATTATAAGTGAGAGAAAGGAGAAGTGGAAAGAACACTAAACTTAGAACCAAAAACCTGGCCCAATTATGAATGCCTAACAACCTCAATGCCTCCATTTCCTCCTCTATCAAATAAAGAGTTTGGCTAGATGTTTGTTACCCTTCACTTTCAATTTCTGGGAATGCATGTAAAAGGATAGCAAGCAATACAGGGCAAATTCTGAATTTCAGATACCATCTAATCAGACCTTCCTAATGGAATTCCACCACCCATTTCTAACAGCTAGATGGATAGAGCACTGTACTTGGAATGAAAAAGACCTGAATTCAAATCCTACCTCAAATATTTATTAGGTGGGTAAGTCATTTAACCTTTTTCTGCCTCAATTTCCTCATCTGTGAATTGGTACAATACTAGCTAGTATTGTATGCTAGTATCTATCTCCCAGGGTCCCAGTGAAGATAAAAACTAGATAACATTTATAAAGCTAGTTATGTAAATGATAATTTATTTAGCATCTGCTTAAACATTTTAAAACAAATTTTTATTGATAATCTTTTGTTTTTGCATCACCTATTTTTTCTCATACCCTTTCATTTTACAGATAACCATCCCTTATAACAAACTTTTTAAAAATGGAAAATAATAGAAAAAAGGCAAAACTAATCAATACATCTAAAAAAATCTGAAAGTATATTCAGTGTTCTAAACCCACAGTTCTCCCACTTTTGCAAAAGAGTAGGTGAAGGGGTAGGTGTCTTCTCATTTATCTTCTTTAGGGCCAAACTTGTGCTTCAATACTTTACATGACAAGGAGCTCACTAGGGAGCCCATTTTATTGTTGGACAATTGTAGGTGGTAGCAGTTACTCCCTCCCTGTAACTTACATTCATTGTACAAGTTTTATTTTCTGGAGCCAAGGACAATATCTAATCCCTCTTCCATTTAACTCTTCAGATATTTAAACCAAACAAGAAAATCTGTACTGGACACAACACAATTTAAAAGGCATTGATATTCATCGTCATCATCATCATCATCAGAACAACTAGTATTTATATGCTTTCAGGTTTACAAAGCAGTTTACAAATACCTCATTTTATCCTTGCAACAACCATGGGAGGTAGTTATTTTTGTTATCCCTGTTTTATAGATGAAATTTGAGGCAGATGGAGAAGTGATTTGCCCAAGGTGGCACACCTAGTGTCTGAGGCAAGATTTGAATGAACTCAGGTCAAATGCTCTAAAAGGAGAAGATTGTAAAAATGGTAAAAATCACAGACAGCATTAATGTCAGAAAAGGTGATCAAGAAGATATTAGAACCTAGCAATCCTTAGTTCTGCTTTTCACCTATGTCGTCTTTATGAGTATGATCTTCACACATAATCATGGGTATTCTTGATGAAAATACCAAAATGGAACAAACAGAATTTCAAACATGATTCTCTGTAGCACGCAACAGCTTCATATTGAGGTGCAAGGCATGTGTCTCAGTGTCATTTCAAAAGAATGCAGACTCAGACTGTCTCCAAATCAAGCAAGGTTATTTATTTGGGGTAATGCACCTTTTGGCCTCTTTTCCTTAAGGGAGACAGCAGCAGCAGCTAGGAGAAGCTAGGGATTTTTATAGAGGAAATATGCCATATGGGCAGGGAGATGAGGTAATCAGGGATATACAGGCAAGTGACTATAGCTCAGAGTTCTTCGAATATCCTGTTTAGACATATCATTTCATTGGCCAGCCCATTTGCCCAGGGCAGAGGGGCCCCTGTTAATCTCATCATTCAGAATTACAACATTGCTAAAGAGGTAGAATGAATTCAAGACCCTTTCCCTTACCTTTCCAGTTTCCCCCAGCATTCCACCTTTCCAGTCTTCTTACACCTTGGTCAATGCTACATACTCTTCATTCTAGTAACACTGGTCTTCTTGATATTTCATGGACAAGACATTTTAATCTCTGGCTCTGGGCATTTTCTCTGATTGTCCTTCATGCCTGAAATGTCCTTCCTCATCTCTGCTTACTGCCTTCCCTGGCTTCCTTCAAGTCCTAATTAAAATCCCATCTTCTACAGGAAGCCTTTCTCAACCCTTCTTAATTTTAGTGCCTTTCCTCTCTTAAATATTTCCCTTTTTTTTCCTACATATAACTTGTTTGCACATATTCATTTACTTGTCTCCCTCATTAGACTGTGAGCACTTTATGACTCTTTTGTCTCTTTTTGTGTCCCTGGCAATCAGTACAATACCTGGCACATAATATGCTCTTAATAAACATTTATAGAATACTATTTATTTTTAAAAATTGACTTGGTAAAGCAAAATGCAGGTGTCTACCATGCATATAACAAGACATGATTCTTTGAGAGATGCAAAGAGATCATTTTGGTCAGTGTTCTTTAACTATTAACTATTAATATTAAACATGTCACAAAACTTTATTCTCCAAAGATGTCGGCCACTGTCTTAGATGTTCCTAAGGGAAGTCTCAGTTCCTGTGCCTAAAAAATTCCTGCTGAGGATCAAAAAGGATTGGTTGCTATATTTTTGTGTGTGTGTGTGAGGCAATTGGGGTTAAGGGACTTGCCCAAGGTCACACAGCTAGTACATGTCAAGTGTTTGGTCTGAGGCCGGATTTGAACTCAGGTCCTCCTGACTTCAGGGCCGGTGCTCTATCCACTGCGCCACCTAGCTACCCATGGTTGCTATATGTTTAGCTACCTTTGATGCCATCTCTAAACCCCTCCACTATCTAATGCCTGGTTCATGGAAAGAGATTGTATTTACTAAATCTACCTATAAGGAATTTGCTGACCGTCTTGTAAGGACAGATACCAAAGTGCCTAGTGAACCAGGCAGTTGCCTGGGTGCCTCATAAATGTTTTTGTAAGAGCAAAAAATCAAGTAAACTATGCCTAATTTTTTAAAATTCAGAATTATAGATGATCCAAAGAACACAGAACGATAAAGCAAGAGTATAAGTAGGCTCCAATATTAACTACAATTTGCATTCAGAAAGTGGCAAAGAAGTCATCTATGTAAAATCTATGTGAAATTGTGAAAGTAGGTAGTTCAGTCACATATTGAGAAAGGGGAATAACACTGGGAGGCCTTGAGTATTGCACTGGTATCTTTAACATTTTAGAAGACCCAGAGGGGGCAGCTAGGTAGCGCAGTGGATAGAGCACCGGCCCTGAAGTCAAGAGGACCTGAGTTCAAATTTGGCCTCAGACCAGACATTTGACACTTACTAGCCTGGGCTAGTGACCCTGGGCAAGTCACTTAACCCCAATTGCCCAAAACAAAACAAAAAAACCCCCAAAAAACCCAGAGGCTGTGAGACCTTGGGTAAGTCACATAACCTCCCTTCCTACACCTCAGTTTCCTCATCTGCAAAAAGAAGATAGTGATAGGTGTACCTAAATGACTCACTGGGCAGGTCTTTTGTGGAGGATTTATGTAAAGACATAGAAATAAGATAAGAAATACAATAAGAAAGCCTGGGTGTGTTATGATCTTTACAAATGGA